CCTCCTCCTTCTTTCCGTACACCTCCAAGACTCGTTCGCGCCATTTTGTATCCAATTCCACCATTAATTGCTCCCGGGACTTGGTCTCTAAACTCTGACGCAGCACCTCCCTGTCCTTCCCAAGCCGGGCGCAGGCAGGGCAACGAAAGCCACCACGGGTTTTTCGGGCAAATTCCCGCTGGATGCATGTGTCGCAACTGGGGAGTGGGAAGAGAAATAGGAGGGAATGAGGGAGGGAAGGAGGGAAAGGACGCACAAAACATGAGCCTCCAGCATCGACTTTATAACTGTACATTTAGTCTCCCTCCAACCTTGCTTTCACGCTGGTTCGTTTCCTTGCATATCACAAACTACATATGTCTAGGGCTATTTCTAGGGTCAACCGCTGCCCCGATTCGTTCCCTCCCCCTCCCTCTTATCGCCCCCCCAGCTCCTCACAAATAATGCCCGCAGGATGTATTGATCTTGAAACGTTTCCGGCTCAAATTGTCCAAAGCATCCTCCCGTTGTTCGCACGCCGCACACTTCACCGTCATTTCGTCGTCTTCCTCTTCCACCTTTCCATTTTTACCCTCTCTGGCAGGCCCTACCATCGCAAGCACCTGCAGCAACCTCAAGGGGTACGTGGATGGTCTTCCGATGCCGCGTAATTTTCCTGCCCCCGGGTGAAAGACGAATCAGCACAGGATGTACAATGTTTGAACAGAAGGGCGTGTCAGACTGGGCACATAAAGCACTCACGCATACCGGATGCAATGCAAACAGTTTTCGCTGAAAGAGGCAGCAGCGACAACTTGTAGAGCCAGGGTAACCTCCCCTCTTCCCCTTGACTGCTTTTTAATAAAGGCTCAAAAAGCTATCTTCATGTTGTCGCGATATCGGCATCAGTGCCGTAAGTAGGAAGGTGACTATATGATACCTCGATTGCAATCACAGTGTTAAGAACATTGTGGCTGCTGGCGTGTCCTTTTGTTTGGGGGAAAGGCTCGGTTGCACGCTGTGGAGGTCCCACTTGGGAAGTGTGACGACTTAGTGCCGTACACAGGTGGACAGAGAGTCGTTATGTATTTACACATATATATATACATATATATGTATAAAGAATGAGCAAGTCGAGTCATATAATGAACCAAGGGAAAGCAATCATAAGTTGATTCCCCCCCCCTTTGATAGGGACCAGTGGGACATCAGATGCCTCCCACATCGTCAACTAGGTGGGGTCACCCCTCCAACTTGAAATGTAGCATCTTGCGCGTTACCTCCGTTTCTTCACATCACCGAGGGTTTCGGTCTCTTGCCTGCTTCTTTCATGAGAACCTTGGAGCTTTTCCATCTCGCTGCCCCATCCACCCTTCTCGCCTTCCCCCTCCACCTCCCGCCATCGCCAAAGAGAAACACAGGCACCAACACACCTAAATTCCCATCGAAACCAGCGAAGCCTACCACTGTCTTTCCCTCTCCAGCATTCAAACGAGTCCCCTCCTTTCTATCTCCTCCCTGTCAGTCTGTGTCCATTTCCCCCCCGCGTTTAAAGTGCTTTCAGGAACGCGTCAAAATCCGCCTGGGCCCGCGAGTAAGCCGCCTGGGACACATCCACCTGCTTGCGACGGCTGGCCACGGTCAAATCTTCAATGTCCTGGAAGAGGCTCTTGAGGGCCTTGCTGGCCTCAGGGCTCTGCTTGTTCTCGGCAAGTTTTTGGCCCGAACGGCGCAAGTCGTACATTTGACGGGTCAATTCCGTGCGCACCTCCTCCCACTACACAAAAGACGAAGGCAGGGGGGGATAGATGGCATGAAGCGAGAATGCACATGAGGAGAGCAGGAATGAATGCGGGGTGGACGCCTTGGCAGGAAAAAGGGGGGGAGAAGGAGAGCGAGAGAAGGCACAGACAGGGGCCGAAGGAGGGAGGGAAAGAGGGGAGGAAACCTCAATGCCGCACCTGCTTCTTCTCCAGGTACTTGGCAATCTTGTCCACACGCTTCTTGGACTCGGTCACCTTGGAAGTGTAGAGCTTCACGTCGTCCGCGTTCAGGGGCTTGAAGAGAGCGTTCTCACCGGTCCCGTAGGGAGCTGAAGGGGCGGTAGAGGAGGGAACAGAGGGTGGGGGCGTGGATCAGTTTTGTTTCTATGGCTAGGAGCACGAAGTGTACATGCATGGACCGGTACTCCTGGCACGGCAAGGGTGGGGCAAGAACAGTATAGACACACCCTTTCACGCCTCCCGCCCTTTTCCCCCTCCTTCGTACAGTAAGGCGAGTAGGTAGGTACGTCCTGCACAAAAGGGGAGGACGCGGCGTCGCCCCCCAGGCCGAAAACAGACTGCTTGGGCCCCTCTCCAGACTTGGCCAGGGCACTTTCAGGCATGGACGTCAGGGGCATAGTGGCGAAATTAAAAAACATGGAGGCCGTGGCAAATCCCTTGACGACGTTACCCAGGCTCAGGGGGGAGCTTGTCTTCTCGGCGGTCATGCGCATGACGCTGGGAAGGGGGGAAGGGAAGCATTTGGGGAAATTGAGGGGCCTCGATGGGAAAAGCTGTCCGCCATGGGAACCAAAGGGTGATTCGACGACCGCACAAGGCGGCTAGGGGGAATGTGCGCAGGTGCAAAACGCGATCCCTTCGTTCCCTCCATTAGATTCGACAGCGGAGAAGGCAGTTGGACAAACAAATGTACTTACTTGCGTTCAGTGACAGGCATGGGGGTCATGAAGGCGAGGGCAGGGGTGGCAAGGGCCAGGAAAGAGATGGTACGCATGATGGAAAGTGGATAAATTTGAACTTGGATGCCAACAATCTATATATCAAAGTCGTAAGGGGGGAAGGGATGTGTTGGGTGAGAAATAGAGATGCAGAAAAGGCCCAGGAACGCCCGCCTCACGGCAGCGCCTTCTGCACATGTGTCCAGCCGGTGAGGGGTGACATGAAAGCTTTGCATCTACATTAGCCTCTATAGATCTTAGAACATGCTCCTGTGGCCAAAATTTAAGATCAACGGTCGTGAATTGGTCATATAATTCCTTTAATATGTCGTTGCCTGATGGCTGCAGGCCTTCAAGTCCTCCAGACGACAAGGTTGCTCGTGCGACTTTTCGTTCAATAATTGCAATGTGCGGAAGAGGGCAGGGTTTTCTACGGACAAGTCGTGCAATGACATGTTGAAGAGAAAGATATGCCATAGTCAAGTGACATCCATGAAAGGGGGGATGGGGACTTAGATCGAGGTCTGGCCACGCTCAAGATACCACTGCACCCGCGATGGACGGCCTCAAGCCGGAAAGGAGGGCGAGGACGGCCAAGTGCCACCTGCTGGCATTGATTTTGAGGGTTTTGGCTTTGGAGAATCGGAGAAGGGGAGGCTGAGCGGCCGCAGCGTTGAGATTACGGCATCTAGGACGGGATATAGAGTTGTAATTAACAGCTTAATTAACAACCCGATCGCGGAGAATGGCACTCAAACGTTACAGAAAGATTAAACACCACATAGCGTCCAAAGCGAAAGGCAGTGAGGGTCCGCAGACTTAAAATTTTGGGTGGGACATTCGAGCATGAGGCGCTCGGTGGGGAGCAAGAGGAAAAGGCGATGATAACGCCGCTGCCTGCGAGCTCTCGAGCGCGTCTCCCGCAAGCCTGAAAAGAAGACAGGACTTGACCGCCGGTGTCTTCCAAATACGGCCAGACTGAAGGAGGATATGCCTTGACTGCGTGTGTGTGGCAGCAGGTCGTGTAGGGGCACTATTTTTGCCATTTACTCCTGTCAAACGTTTGTTGCCACACCGGCCATGGAGTGAAACTCCAGGATCGTGCTGGCGTGGCAGTATTCCGACACATTCAGCCCATGTGGACACAATTATGCGACGTTCACACCTCAGGATGCCTTCAACCATGCCTTAAGTGTGTACAAGCACGTTTCACCACCGATTCGAAGCGCGGAATGTATTTCATGCGGGTCACGATGTCCGCCGCTGGGCTCGTGTCCACCCCGTTGTTCCGGTTCCCGTGCCCGTCCATCCCTCGGGGCCCACCTGCTTCCCTCCTATCCCTCCATTGTACACGCACACAGGGGAAAAGCACAGCGAAGGATGCCTCCGCAGAACGACGCTGCCCTCGGAAGTGGTGAGTGCATAGTGGGGAGCAGAGAGGGGGTATTCGGATTAAGGGATCGATGAGTCATACAAGCCCAGGATGGAGGGAATGTTAGTCTGGACCAGCCAAGCCTATTTACTGGCAGCGCGTTGACATTCCCCTAGCATCCTACATTGCGAGCGGCTCGAGAATGTGTAGTATGTGGCGTCTGTCTGTATGGTGATGTTCTGCCTGCTTCCTCTCTATCGGAAAAGTGCGAGCATCTAATCGATTCGTCCATACAGGGCGCTCCCGTCCCTGCGCCCCCTTTGCATGCTTACGTCCATTGGCCACCTTCCCACCCCGGAATGATGTGTCCAAGAAGTGTTTGCCTCATGGAAGACACGCAAGGGCTCAGGGGAGCGCGAATCGTGGGCATGTCCTGAGCGCCTGCCACTGATTCGGCCCTCGCCTGCCCTCCCTCCCCCCTTCCCTCCTCCCTTGGTCTCTAAACTCTGACGCA